GTAATTAGTATCTGCAAATCCTGAACTCCCAATTTATCCCTCCATCCCCCCCTTTCTCCCCTGGTAACCACAAGTTTATTTTCTGTGTCTGAGTCTGTCTCTGTTTTGTAAATTAAGTTCATTTGTCTCATTTTTTTTTTAGATTTCACATATAAATGATATATGGTATTTTTCTTTTTATTTTCTGCCAAGCATCTTATGATAGTGCCCTCCTCAAGATGTGTTCATTATTCTTGTTGCAGATGCTACAACTGTGGTGGGCTTGATCATCATGCTAAGGAATGTAGTCTACCTCCTCAGCCAAAGAAGTGCCATTGCTGTCAGAGCATCACGCACATGGTGGCGAACTGCCCGCACAAAGGCGTGGCGCAGCTGCCCCCCGGTTCTCAGGGAAGACAGGAGGCGGAGTCCCAGCCGTGCGCCTCGACCTTCCCTCGAGAGCTGGGGGGAGGGCACGGCTGCGCGTCTCCACCGTTTCCGCAGGAGGCAAGGTCCGAGACCTCGGAGTGGGCAGGCAGGTCCCCCCAAGACGCTTCGTCCACCAAGCCACTTGCGGCACCAGAAGAACAAAGCAAAAAGGGGCCTTCCGTTCAAAAGAGGAAAAAGACATAACCCTTCTCCTTAACGCATCCTTTTCTCTCCCCAGTTGGGAAGTCTACCTCATGCAAGTACAGGGGAACAGTATTTCACAAACAGCAGCTGACCTGGGATTTTAACTACTGTTGAGGAACTGTGAATTTCTGTAAACAGACAAATCACTCTAAGCAAATGACCTTTGAGCAGGGTGTCCTGTTTTCACGTTACTCGCAGAAAATGAGATGCTATGAGTATCTGTATGTGCAGGTGTGAGAGGGGGAGAGCCTGAGTGTGTGTGTGTAGGAGGATTTTAGAGAGAATGTAGACACATGTATAAAGAGGGCTTGTCTTTATGTATGTGTGTATAGAGCTATTAAGCACACACCCACACTCACAGAGCTGGACATCCCCAAGAACTGAAAACCCACGTGAAGTATTTTAGATGGTTTTGAAAATACCCCCTGAAGTTTTCTTGAAATACCATTCCCTTTATATTACATTAAGGAAAAAAAATGACTGTTACCTTTTGTGTGAACCAAAGGATACTTCAAATCTCAGAGCTGCCAATCATATGGTACTAAAGATTTTTAAGACACCAGTTCTCCCGAATTTGGGATTGCCTCTTTTTCTTGATATCCGTACAGTGTGTCCACCCCCCCAACCCCTTTGAAGGCAGTACCTTAATTCCATATGCCTCTGACTGCCATAAACTTTTTTGAATCTGGGATACATAACTCCAGAAAAGACAATGAATGTGTAATTTCTGTGCTGATATTTCAATGTTTTTAATTCATGTGTTTTGACTGTAAATTAGATGCCTATTAAGAGAAATGAAGGGGAGGGCAATGTATAAATGTAGTGACTTGATTGTTCTCAATGGTATTTTGATACCAGCTCATTATAATCTTTTACCTGTTGTGAGGTTTTTAAGGGACTGTGGCAACAGCAGCTTCCCTTGACTGAGTCAATCCTTCTGACCATCACTTCGAGCAGGGGCCTCCTTGTTTACTACTGAAGACCTTGGAGGAGAACTCCAATTGTTTGGTGTATATTTTCAGTGGCTGTTTTTACTCCCCCTGGAGAGTTACCTGACTTGTTTCTAAAATACACAAACAACACAGCACAGATATTTGTAAAGTGCCAGGGTTGAGAAGGAAAATGAAGTGAATGCTCACAATTGCCCAATATGTATGACCTTGAATAACATGAAGAAGTGCAGTGTTTGGTGGCAGGCAACTAGCGTGATGAGCCTGGGCCAAGAGGTACCCAGACCTCTCCAACCAGAGAGCTAGAAGTCTTTTATACAATACAGTTGAATCTTCTGGAAATTTCCTTGTGACTCATACTAAAGGGCCCTAGATGGTAGATTCAGGAAGAACATTCAGTGATGGGGCAGAGATAACCTCTCAGGATGGTCCTCCGTCATATTTCATACAGAAAAATCTGCCTGGGAGCCAGTCATGGTATTGGTCCCGTTAGGTTTCAGTCATTAAAAAAAAAATCATCTTAGTGTCATCCTGGTTCTAGATGTTAGGGATAAATTTCGGAAACATCTCCAAGAAGGTACCGATCAGTGACAATGCTTATTAACATTGGCAATAAGTATAGTTTTGTATGAGCCTGTTGGTGTAAGCTCAGATAATCAGAAAAAGAAAATAGCATGATTCAAGTGAGACACATTCTGCTGAACAGTTTCTGATCCCTCCCCGATGTGTCCTGCCAGAGGGAGGCTTCTACGGTTGCCACCATTTCTGCAAGCAAGCCACGCATAGGGAGAGCGTGCCTCAGGCTGGGCCGCGGTCCTTCCCAGCTCAGCTTGAGTTGACAGTGTTTGTGAGAATCTCCATGGGATGTACTGAAGTGTCAGTGTGCTGTGATGCAGAGCTTACCTTTGACGATATTGAATGTGATAAATAGCTATAGAGAAGTACTTCCTTGCCTTATGTGAGGATTGTAAGCTTATTTAAATTATGTAGACAAATCAAAGTGGCATTGCTTAATTTTTAGCAGGTGTAATAAGCAGGTTAACAGTAAAAATGCAAAACATAAGACGTCACTTTGAAAATTCAAACCAAAGTTCCTTGGACCTTATTAGAAATAGGAAATTATGGACTTGAGAATTGGACATTCCCTGTTTACATAGGAACAGTTCAGAGCTGAGATCATGGTTTAAAAAAAAAAGGAAGAAAGAAACTGTAACTGGACCTTATGGGTGCAATTTGAAATCATTTTAGGCATCTTACCAGACTGAACTAAGAGCACATACCAAACCTATCTTATGGTTAAAATTTGGGGTTTATTTTTTATATAAGAATATTATCACTATTACATAACATACTCAGGACAAAGAACTTTGCTCAGGGAACATACCATATTAATATTGTTGTCGTTTCTTTACAGAATAGTCTACAGTCCTGCTTACTCAAAACAAACCGAATAACTCAGACCTTTATATAAGTGTTATGTACTGACGATAGTAGTAACTACCTCTGAGTTTTGACATAGATCAAAATTTCCAAATACCAGATATCAGTTCTCCTATTTTTGTTTCACGTGAAAAGTACTCTAAAGGAGACTTCCTGAGCTCCTTGCATATGTGAATGTCACTGATGTAAGCACAGTGTCCATTTACATGGGTGAGATATTACTCTGTTTACAGCAAAAGGCTACCTCATTATTGATGCATAGCACACCTCTATGCTGCTCCAGCCTCACAGTGGCTGATAATTCTCTGGTACAGAACCTTTTAATCTATATTATAGATAGCAACTCACAACTGCATGTTTCTGACAAACACTTGTGAATAATCATGCATCTCATTTAGTGAGCCAAGTCTCCAAGCATTTCCTTAAATGTTGTCATGGATTTAGTTTAAAGACTTATGGGGACTCTTCCACTGAAGCAAAACAGAACATACAAGCAATCTTGGAAATAGCTGCTTTGCCCAGAGGTCGGTAGTGGGAAAAGGTCGGGAAGAGAGGTTGGTGTGTGAGTGTGTGTGTGTGCTGGGCAAAAGTATAAAAGATGCCAATCTGCTTCATTCCTGTCTATGCTGCCCTGAGGCCAAGCGTACCGCAGCGTAATTGCCCCAGGCACATAATTAACTAGCACTGGCTGCCAAGGAGTGAACACGGAGTGAATGTGCAATGCCATTTCTAGCTACTGAGCGGTAGGGTCTGCATGAAGCATCAGTTTACAGGAGTTGCTAAGGGGTTGGGCAAGAGGTCTGTGAATGAGTTGCCCCTTGACCTCACCCCTCAACGTCAACACAAATGTGATTCCTAAGAAAGATGCACTACCGATCTCTTAGCCCTGTGAGCTATTCACTGCTACATGGCGGATTATAGTAGAAACATTTTTGTACTTACATTTCTAGTCTTTACTAGAAGACTTTGGATGTATTTTTACAGTTGAAAGATTTAGAAAGATTTTTACCTGCTTATAACTTGGAAGTTTGGCGTGCAATGTAGGGGAAAAGATCAAGAAACATCATGTTATTAGCATCGGTCCATCTACAGATATAGGATGTTTTTATTGCCGGTATTTTTTTTTTCATATTCTGGCCCAGTTTTATTTTGCACCACTGTGGCCCGCAGTTACTGCTAGCTGTATTTAGTTTGTGAATAGAAGCCCATAAGTGTTAATAGACGTTGTAACATTCACTGTAAGATGAATTATACAGGACATGGGAAATCTCATTAAGTCTTAAAGTTAATTTAAATTAATTTATCTGTTTTCTCTAAGAAATGTTTATCATAAAATATATATGTGTGTTTCCCCTTTGGTTATGGAATTTGGGAAAGTATGTACAAGTGCAGCTGCATGACTTTAATTCTCTAGATGTCTTAATGAGATTTATTTGTTTTAGGGAAGAACAACTTGTTAAAAGCATCAAGTTCTGTCTTACATCGCTGTCAACAGCCTCTTTCGGATGTGGTGGTTCCTGTGATCTGTCTCATAGTTGTTCAGTTAGAGTGAGAGGTTGACCTCTGAATCGCTTTTAAATTGTCTGTTTGGAACAGAGCTGCAATGTCATGGTAAAGTACCGTACTGTGAGAAACTGTTACGACATTTAATGCATCTGTGGCTTCACCCTTGTGAGAGTTAGTTACCAGCTTGAAAATGATGGTGTTGACTACCTCTTGAATTACTTACATCTACCAACCACTGGCACCCACCGCCAGCGGGCTTTAATCAGTCTGTGTTGCTTTTGGGTATTAACAGGTTTAACCATAATAGAGACCAAAGTGAACACTGATTTCTATATGTCTTTAATATGGTGTTTTATCTAGTGTTTTAAAATTATCCTTAGTAGTATTTAGATTACCTCATTGTCCATTTTGGCTCATGTTGTTTACAAGTGAAAATAAAAACACTTGAACTGTATGTTTTTAAAGGACAAAAAAGGCGTAGGTGTTCGGAATGGCATTTCACTCTTGTAGAGTCGTCTTGACGGACTAAAAGTACTGTTTGCCTTTCTGCGGACCGTGGATTTTATAATCTCATTTCATGCCTAATGTCTGTCAATTATGGATATTTTGAGGTTTAAAGAAATTACTTGATTAAAAATAAAACATATAACATTGGCATTTATGATGAGTTTTGGAGATTTTTCATGATTTGTTTAAATTATATGTGCTTTGCAACTTTACACTTTTCTCTTAACATCATGCAGTGTTTTGTCATAGCAATAAAAATTGTTCGAGAACAACATTTTTGGTAAGTGCACGTGTGGTTTGAGGAAGTGAGATTCAGTGGGGCAGGAAGGATGGGCGTGGTTGGGGTTGTAAAGAGGAGAATCCAGGACAAGAAACAGCATAAACAAAAGGCCAGAGTTGAAACTAAACAGTGCATGTTCAGTCAATCAGTAAAGAGATTAATTTGGTGGGACAGAGTATGAAAAACAGCTTTTTGAATGTAGTGGAGGGCCGCCAGTGCAGCCAGGAACGTGAGGGACTTCCAGCTCTGCAAAGGGAAAAGCATGAGCGGTGAGAACATTTGCCCCAAGCTTTTACCCTGTGGTCACTTCCTGTTCCCAGAGGTGCCCCAGGGTGGAAGAACCCACCCAGGAAGTGGTGGTCTTACCACCACTGAGGAA